ATTTTGGTCAAATGTTTTTTTTATGAAGATTACTGATTTACATTTAATGTGAGCATGACGTGAACCCTCACACACATACACCTTTAATTATACATGTTCGTATATTCGTATACCCTTATCTTTGCAGCACCGTCACTTGGGCCCCAGTTGTGGTATCCCATAATTAAAAAACCACCCTGACATCTATAGGGGCGGGGGAGTTATTAGATCCTCGTTGGCAGCTTACTATGGTTCATTCACACTCAAAGGGTCCCCCACTAAACAATTTTTTTGATGCAATAACAAACAATTTAATTATTTTTGACACTTTAAAAACTCTACAGGTGATGTATTACACTATGATTTTTTCCCCTGTGACCTTGACCTTAAAGAACAGGGTACAGTTTCAAAACATTTAAGCCCTGTATTTTTCTAAAATTATAATAGTGATATAAGAAATTAAAATTTATTCTTCCTGAGTAATAGGAATTCCATGGAGTAAGAATTCACGAATCATTTTTCTTCATATGACCTCCTGAACGTCAATTGTGACGTCATTAACTTGTACATTTTCCTATTTTCTTAAAAAAATTGCAGACATCAATTTTCAGTAGAATTTTCTTTCAGAAAAACATACTTTGTAATGTTGCTTACAAAGATTTTCTACAGATGTGATTTTTGAAATCATTTTACAGAATATATCCAAGAACTGAAGTGGGCGACGGTGGCAGACACTATTTTCTAAAGGAAAATTATCACAGAAATGAGTCATTCTTAGGCTTTTCTGCATTAAACTTAGAAATGTACCAAATTAATGACGTCATATTTCCAGAATGGTCCTCCTTAATGAATTCTGACAAAGATTTTTCTAGACGTAGGGCTAAATATGAAGAGGGAGATCAGAAAACTTAGTCAAAATGGATTAAATGCTTGATGAATAGAATTGAATTAGAAATTTAGAAAAGAAGTACCGGTAAACAAACATTCTCTCTTTCTGTTTTCAATAAATATTGAAGGCGATATTAAAAAAAGACACATTTATAAACAACATGCTATGATTCCAGCCGACAAGACTTGTAAAAATTGTCATTGTTTGCCAGAGTAATTATAATTATATCAAGGACACTATCTCACCCAACAATTTTGCATTCACTGTGAATTGTGACTTTTATTTTCATTCTTAATTTACCTTACTATTTTCTTTGTACTTTACAGGGTACGATCACTGTGAATTACGACTTTTATTTTCCTTCCTATTTTCTATTTACATAGTACTTTTATTCGCGTGTGAGAAATTTTTGCGAAGTTCGCGAGAGCGTCTCCATCGCGAATATTTCTCGCCGCGAACAGGTCCTGTAAGTCTATGTGCCTATTGACTACAAATCCAAAAAAGCTTGATCGCGAAAATTAATCGTCGTTAACTAGTTTTCCCCGACAAATCGCAAATAAAGAAGTCGCGAATAAATGTTGGTTTACAGTATTTCCCATGTTATTTACATTATGTAATTTAAATTTGACACCCTTACACAAATTATGTCACCCAATACAGGCCGTATTAAACAAGTTTCAGCGTTGTAAGTAAACATAATTAATGAAGTTTGGACTGCTTAAACCAGTTATCAGTTAACTTAGAGGAACTCAGAATAAACTCAGGTGACCGATTGCTATCCGTTTTTGTCCGTCGTGCGTTGTGAGTTAAAATTTGAACATTTTCAGCTTCTTCTCTGAAACCACTGAACCAATTTCAGCCAATTTTTGCATATAGTATCTATGGGTGAAGGGGGACAAAAATTGTGAAGTTCATGGTCCCTGTCCCCCAGAGGCATTGGGAGTGGGGCCAAAACCACTAAAATTAGTGCAATCTTTTAAAATCTTCTTTACTCCTGGATATCAAGCAGTCAAACTGTTGGCATGAATGTAATGAACATTGAGTCCTCTACCAAAATTGTGAAATTAAATTCATGGCCCCAGCTTCAGGAGTTCTAGTGCTAGGGTGGTGCTAAATAGATTAAATAGTGAAAATGCATAAATTCTTTAAAATTCTTCTTCTCTGCTCATGGGCATTAAGTAAACTACACATGTAACCAAGTGCATAGTAATGTTGATAAAGGCTGCCTCTTCCAAAATTGTGAATTCCATGGCCTTTGGGTCAGGGGTTCTAGTGCTAGGGCGGGGCTTAAAAGTTTATATTGTAAAAAATAGTTATTTCTTTGAAAATCTTCTTTTCTATGCCTTGGTATTAAAAACATGAACCATGTACATAGTTAGGGGAAGGAAGTATGCCTCTTTGAGATTTGTGATTTCAGGGCCCTTGGGTCAGGGCTTCATGTGTTACATGTAGGGCGGGGCTCTAATGTTTATACGTGTATAATGGAAGTAGATGGATTCTTTGAAAAACCTTTCCTTTCCTCCTGGGTATTATGCTAACGATGTACATGTAAATACATATTTATGATGAAAAAAGCTGCTTCTTCCAGAATGGTTTATTTCTGTGCCCCTGGGTCAGACGTATTTGGAGGGGGAGGGTACATTGTCTGAATATATATTCATGCTTTGAAATCTGCAATTTGATATTAATCAACAATTTGTGATAAAATAATTTTCATGATAAAATTTCCAAAATTGTGAAATATGTGGCCCTAGGGTAAGTGGTTCCTGTGGGGTGGGGTGCACAACTGGTTATAAATAGAAATTCATTTTCTCTTCGTTGCTCTGATCTACCTCTGGGTATTAAGTAACTAAAGTAAGCATGCTAAGTGTATAATAATGACAAGCAATGGTGTCTCTTTCAAAATTGCGAGTTTTATGGCCTCTGGTTTAAAATACGAATCAAATTCATTTGTTGGAAAGTTGTTACGGGATACTCAGGTGACCTATAAGACCCCTGGGCCTCTTGTTTTATTTTATCATACGATAGGAAATCATGCATATTCTTGGAATATATCCGTTATTTTCACAACAACGGGGAAGAATGAAGAATGGTGGGCATAAGACATGTGACTCTCTATGCCCCTTAAGGAAATTTAAAATAAACAGGAAAGGTCCCGAAATGACCTAAGGGCTTCTGATGTACGAACCAAGATATTGTAAAATAAGGTTTCCCAAATTCAAAAATTTTTTTATACAACTTAAACTCGTTTTAACGAATTCTAAAACTTGTTATAATCAATTGAATTCGTTTGAACAAATTCTTTGATTTGTTAAAACGAATTAAATTCGTTAAAATGAATTCGACAAATTGTTATATTGAATTCATATATATTTTTTGTAGGCTCTGATTGTTGAATTTGTTTGAACGAATTTAATTCGTTATAACAAACTTTAGAATTCGTTTAAACAAATTTTTTTTCATTAAAACAAATTTTTGAATTTGTTAAAACGAATTCAACAAATTTGTTTTAACGGATTAAAATCGTTATAACGAATTCAAAGAAATTGTAATAATGAATTTAATTTGTTGTAACAAATTCGACAATTCGTCATATCAATTCAAAAATATATTTTGATAGGTCCTAAATAGGCTTCCGTAAATTTGAAATCCATTTGCATAGACAACTTTTAGTCTCAGGTTTTCTGTATCATTTAAAAAAATTATCTTGCTTTTAAATACTGTGTATAAAATATTATATCCTGGCAAAGATAGAGCTCATTAATGGAGGGTGTGTTGATCAAACTAACATGTATTTATGAAATATCAATGTATAATTGTTCCCTGATTTTTTTAATTAAATTGGAAAATATTAGTAACTAAAACACATTTATAAATAAGGGGAAAAGGACACTGAGGATGATTTTTTATTTGCAAGCTGATCTGATAACAAAACTTTATTTCACATATATGTGCTTATTTCAAGGTAAAAGATAGCAAAGACATATAACAGTATTTGAGAAAATGGTTTCATTTATAAAATATTGAAAATAACTACCTTGCAGAAATAACAACATGCATCCATGGTATCATGATTTACAGTTTACAAGTACTAATATGTAGATTATGTCTAAAATTTGACTAGACTTTTCTGATTATGTACTATATAAATATTAAAAGAAAGTATTCCAGTAATACAGATACTAAGTAGTAATAAAGAAATATGCCCTCCTTTACTTTTCCCTATCAAAAGATTGTATATTGGGCTGTATTAGCACCATTTCTAAAATTCTTATAGACTAATTCATGAACTAGTGTATGTGATCTTGAATTACTGTATATAATATAATTTGATGGTTTACTTTGTTTTCTTTTTTGTGAGGCAAATGAGACTATGTTTTATATGTGAAGTGATTAAAACTATTCACAAATACAAAATACAAGCTTTATATATAAAAATCACAAAATATTTTTAAGAAAACCTTAAAAATCTATTTCTAAACAGAAGCTTTGTTAATTTTTTTACCTGCAAAACAGATCTCTAATAGTTGTAACATTTTTAACAGGTAAATTTTAACTGTTTATCACTCAAACAAAAACCTAAATAGCCATGGACAGTAATTCGAATCAAATGTTACAATTATGATCATATGTAGGTGTTCATATGTAACAGACATAAGACAGAAGCCACAATGCCTTGTGCTCTAATAACATCATCATATACATTAATATTTGTAAAATATAGTATACTAAATAATAATATCACATTTATTTCCTGTTGTCTATTTCCAACATCCAGCACCATGCTATATAGTGTGATCATTTAGACATTACTGTATATTTTGTATAAAAGTTTGTGAATTTTTCAGAGATCTATACCAGCACCATCCTATAACTGTACATTTAATACAGTATCCTTGTCAAAGATCTATCCCAGACACCATCAACTGTTGTTGAGAGTTCCGTGCTGAAAAAAAACCAGAAGTCTCTGTCGAGACTGAAGCTCTACTGGTTTGTACTTATAGCAAAGGAAGAGAAAAGTACTTAAGCAGTTGGAAATTGAAACTTTTTAACAGAAATTTCTATTTTTAGTAGCCATGGCAACACCATTCATTGAAGTGAAAAACTGATATACAGAATTATGTACCTTAGTGTAGTCTACTTGTGTGCTAAGTTATTTTGAAATAAGACCAAAACTGTAGGAGGAGTAGCATTTTGAAAGAATTTCACAGAAATTTCTATTTTTAGTAACCACGACAACACTGTTCATCGAAATCAAAAACCGATACACAAAATTATGTATCTATGTGTAGTTTACTTTTGTGCCAAGTTATATTGAAATAAGACCAAAACTGTAAGAGGAGTAGCATTTCGAAAGAATTTCACAGAAATTTCTATTTTTAGTAACCATGGCAACACCGTTCCTCGAAATCAAAAACCGATACACAGAATCATGTATCTTAGTGTAGTCTACTTGTGTGCCAAGTTATATTGAAATAAGACCAAAACTAAAGGAGGAGTAGCATTTTGAAAGAATTTCACAGAAATTTCTATTTTTAGTAACCACGGCAACACCGTTCATCGAAATCAAAAACCAATACACAGAATTATGTATCTTAGTGTAGTCTACTTGTGTGCCAAGTTATATTGAAATAAGACCAAAACTGTAGGAGAAGTAGCATTCTGAAAGAATTTCACAGAAATTTCTATTTTTAGTAACCATGGCAACACCGTTCCTCGAAATCAAAAACCGATACACAGAATCATGTATCTTAGTGTAGTCTACTTGTGTGCCAAGTTATATTGAAATAAGACCGAAACTGTAGGAGGAGTAGCATTCTGAAAGAATTTCACAGAAATTTCTATTTTTAGTAACCACGGCAACACCGTTCCTCGAAATCAAAAACCGATATACAGAATCATGTATCTTAGTGTAGTCTACTTGTGTGCCAAGTTATATTGAAATAAGACCGAAACTGTAGGAGGAGTAGCATTTTGAAAGAATTTCACAGAAATTTCTATTTTTAGTAACCACGGCAACACCGTTCATCGAAATCAAAAACCGATACACAGAATTATGTATCTTAGTGTAGTCTACTTGTGTGCCAAGTTATATTGAAATAAGACCAAAACTGTAGGAGAAGTAGCATTCTGAAAGAATTTCACAGAAATTTCTATTTTTAGTAACCACGGCAACACCGTTCCTCGAAATCAAAAACCGATACACAGAATCATGTATCTTAGTGTAGTCTACTTGTGTGCCAAGTTATATTGAAATAAGACCAAAACTGTAGGAGGAGTAGCATTTTGAAATATTGTTTACAGACAGACAGACGGACAGACAGACAGACAGACAGCTAGACGGACGGACGGACAACGGACGCATTACTATCGCATAAGCTCTTCTGGTCTCTGACCAGTAGAGCTAATGACGCAAAAAATATAAAAAAAGAATTTACCAATGAAATCATTGTCATCTTCAGTGTATGAAAGAAAAGACTTAAATCATTTGGATTTTCAAATTTCTCACAGAAATGTTCAATAAAATTTTTGAAATAGAAATATTGCTTTCATAAATAGTGTGATTTTTAATTACATCATATGATTTAATTTCTACAATCTCAGTAACTTGAAACAACATTTTTTGGGAAAACAATGAACTATTTGGGGAATATTATATTGTGCTATGTATAGTACATTGTCTGGAGAATTTTACCAAAAACATTGCAATAAATACTGAACTCTCTGTAACTCTGTGACATCAATATAATCTAATATAATGAATAATTATAACACAATAACCTCTATTATAACTTTTCTATATCTGTATAACATGATTCTACAGTCAATGTTATAATTAAAATCAAACCTTTGAAGTACGTGGTGTCAATGTTATAATTAAAATCAAACCTTTGAAGTATGTGGTGTCCTCATCGCCCTCAGGTTGGGGGACAAATGGGGGCTCCACCTCCAGCAGTTGTATGTTATTTTGTTCTTATTTTATTGTTATACTGACCTTCAAAGTATGTTGTGTCCTCAGGTTGAGGGACAAATGGGGTCTCCACCTCCAGTTGTTTACTAAATTTATCATATACTGACCTTCAAAGTATTTGTATCCTCGTCACCCTCAGGTTGGGGGACAAACAGGGGCTCCACCTCCGGCAGTTGTATGTGATATTATTATGTTATACTGACCTTCAAAGTATGTCGTGTCTTCATCACCCTCAGGTTGGGGGACAAACTGGGGCTCCACCTCCAGTTATTAAGTTTATTTATACTGACCTTCAAAGTATGTCGTGTCCTCATCGCCCTCAGGTTGGGGGACAAACAGGGGCTCCACCTCCAGCAGTTGTATGTGATATTATTATATTATACTGACCTTCAAAGTATGTGGTGTCTTCATCACCCTCAGGTTGGGGGACAAACTGGGGCTACACCTCCAGTTATTAAGTTTATTTATACTGACCTTCGAAGTATGTTGTGTCCTCGTCGCCCTCAGGTTGGGGGACAAATGGGGGCTCCACCTCCAGCAGGTTCTCCCAGTCTACCGAGTCAAAGAAGGCCAGCCTCCTCACCTCTGGAATGGAGCATACAACAATTTACTGAGTTACTTCTACTCGACCGATGAACGAACTATGTTCACCAATATATGAGCGATGTAATAAACTTCGGCAATGGAACATTGTTTTATGATAAGCAATGCATCGCTGGACCTTTGTAAGTCCAGCCACCAACCACTCCATTTTTATCAAAAAATGCATAGGTTGCCCAACGTTAACCTCCTTGCTAGATTTTAATGTGACTGATACTTAGAGGGCCACTAGACCGATGTTTGGGCATCTCACACCACAGATTACCACCGATTACCACCAGTCTACAGCCACTGGCCAGAAAATGTGACCTAAGCATTAACATTTTTACATTTAAAGTACAGGTGGTACATAGAAATTCTCATTATCCTTAGCTTGCTGATCTAGCACATGTTCTTCTGTCTTCCTGTATATTGTTACCTACAGTTACATGTACTGACCTCTGTCCTTAGGTCTTTCTTTGGGGTCCATTATCAGCAGTACATCAATGGCTGACTTAGCATTCTCTGATAATGGTTCCTCATCTTCCCCAGGCCAGGGGATATCTACAATATACAAGAGGCCCATGGGCCACATCGCTCACCTGAGCACCAAGGGTAGGAAAAAGTAGAAAATGGTTTTTTATTGTAAAGTTTAAATCCAAAAGTAGTCCCATGACCAATCACGGATTTGCTATTTTTTAGAAAATGATTTTTAAAGAATTTTTCCTATATATACCTTTAAAAACTTTGGTCGGCCATTTTGGCCCCGCCCTACCCCCGGGGGTCAAGATTTGAAGAAACTTGAATCTACACTACCTGAGCATGCTTCCATATAAATATGATGAATTATGGCTTTGTCATTCTTGAGAAGAAGATTTCAAAAGAATTATCCTATATATTTCTATGTAAAACTTTGGTTGGCCATTTTGGCCCCGCCCTACCCCCGGGGGTCATGATTTGAACAAACTTGAATCTACACTACCTGAGCATGCTTCCATATAAATATGATGAATTATGGCTTTGTCATTCTTGAGAAGAAGATTTTTAAAGAATTTTCCTATATATTTCTATGTAAAATTTTGGTCGGCCATTTTGGCCCCGCCCTACCCCCGGGGGTCATGATTTGAACAAACTTGAATCTACACTACCTGAGCATGCTTCCATATAAATATGATGAATTATGGCTTTGTCATTCTTGAGAAGAAGATTTTTAAAGAATTTTCCTATATATTTCTATGTAAAATTTTGGTCGGCCATTTTGGCCCCGCCCTACCCCCGGGGGTCATGATTTGAACAAACTTGAATCTACACTACCTGAGCATGCTTCCTTATAAATATGATGAATTATGGCTTTGTCATTCTTGAGAAGAAGATTTTTAAAGAATTTTCCTATATATTTCTATGTAAAACTTTGGTCGGACATTTTGGCCCCGCCCTACCCCCGGGGGTCATGATTTGAACAAACTTGAATCTACACTACCTGAGCATGCTTCCATATAAATATGATGAATTATGGCTTTGTCATTCTTGAGAAGAAGATTTTTAAAGAATTTTCCTATATATTTCTATGTAAAACTTTGGTCGGACATTTTGGCCCTGCCCTTCCCACGGGGGTCATGATTTGAACAAACTTGAATCTACACTACCTGAGCATGCTTCCATATAAATATGATGAAATATGGCTTTGTCATTCTTGAGAACAAGATTTTTAAAGAATTTTCCTATATATTTCTATGTAAAACTTTGGTCGGCCATTTTGGCCCCGCCCTACCTCTGGGGATCATGATTTGAACAAAATTGAATCTACACTACCTGAGCATGCTTCCATATAAATATGATGAATTATGGCTTTGTCATTCTTGAGAAGAAGATTTTAAAAGAATTTTCCTATATATTTCTATATAAAACTTTGGTCGGCCATTTTGGCCCCGCCCTACCCCCGGGGGTCATGATTTGAACAAACTTGAATCTACACTACCTGAGCATGCTTCCTTATAAATATGATGAATTATGGCTTTGTCATTCTTGAGAAGAAGATTTTTAAAGAATTTTCCTATATATTTCTATGTAAAACTTTGGTCGGACATTTTGGCCCTGCCCTTCCCACGGGGGTCATGATTTGAACAAACTTGAATCTACACTACCTGAGCATGCTTCCATATAAATATGATGAAATATGGCTTTGTCATTCTTGAGAACAAGATTTTTAAAGAATTTTCCTATATATTTCTATATAAAACTTTGGTCGGCCATTTTGGCCCCGCCCTACCTCTGGGGATCATGATTTGAACAAAATTGAATCTACACTACCTGAGCATGCTTCCATATAAATATGATGAATTATGGCTTTGTCATTCTTGAGAAGAAGATTTTAAAAGAATTTTCCTATATATTTCTATATAAAACTTTGGTCGGCAATTTTGGCCCCGCCCTACCCCCGGGGTTCATGATTTGAACAAACTTTAATCTACACTACCTGAGCATGCTTCCCCATAAGTTTCATCTTTCCTGGCACAGTGGTTCTTGATAAGAAGATTTTTTAAATATGCCACCAAATTTTCATAAATTCCTAATT